CGTGGTTCTGATGTGTGTGTGTCTGGATGTGTTGTTGATTGTTTGTTCTGATGTGTGTGTGTTGTGTGTCATGGTTCTGATGTGTGTGTGTGTGTGTGTCTGCAGGTCGCTCTCGCCCTCGCCGCCTCAGACGCAGAGGTCAGGACAGACTGAGTAAAGACGCCTCTAAACTGCTGCTGCTCTACGACCAGAACATTCTGGAGAAAGACCCGCACCGAGAGAGCAAGGACACGGCCTTCGCCCAGGGCTACCTCAGCCGGGTAAGACTGGACCTCAGACACAGGACCTCAGACACAGGACCTCAGCCACAGGACCTCAGACACAGGACCTCAGACACAGGACCTCAGACACAGGACCTCAGCCGGGTAAGACTGGACCTCAGACACAGGACCTCAGACACAGGACCTCAGCCACAGGACCTCAGACACAGGACCTCAGACACCGGACCTCAGACACAGGACCTCAGCCGGGTAAGACTGGACCTCAGACACAGGACCTCAGACACAGGACCTCAGCCACAGGACCTCAGCCACAGGACCTCAGACACAGGACCTCAGCCACAGGACCTCAGACACAGGACCTCAGACACAGGACCTCAGCCACAGGACCTCAGCCACAGGACCTCAGCCACAGGACCTCAGACACAGGACCTCAGCCACAGGACCTCAGCCACAGGACCTCAGACACAGGACCTCAGCCACAGGACCTCAGCCACAGGACCTCAACTGGGTAAGACTGGACCTCAGACACAGGACCTCAGACACAGGACCTCAACCACAGGACCTCAGCCGGGTAAGACTGGACCTCAGACACAGGACCTCAGCCACAGGACCTCAGCCGGGTAAGACTGGACCTCAGACACAGGACCTCAGACACAGGACCTCAACCACAGGACCTCAGCCGGGTAAGACTGGACCTCAGACACAGGACCTCAGCCACAGGACCTCAGCCGGGTAAGACTGGACCTCAGCCACAGGACCTCAGCCACAGGACCTCAGCCACAGGACCTCAACCACAGGACCTCAGCCACAGGACCTCAGCCACAGTTAGACCTCAGGTCAAACTGGTCCTTGGTCTCTGAGGTCTCTGAGGTCTAACTGGTCTCTGAGGTCTAACTGGTCCTTGGTCTCTGAGGTCTAACTGGTCCTGGGTCCCTAAGGTCTAACTGGTCCTTGGTCTCTGAGGTCTAACTGGTCCTGGGTCCCTAAGGTCTAACTGGTCCTTGGTCTCTGAGGTCTAACTGGTCCTTGGTCTCTGAGGTCTAACTGGTCTCTGAGGTCTAACTCGTCTTGGGTCTCAGGTCTCACTGGTCTTTGGTCTGGTCCTCAGGTGTACGAGGCCCTGCAGGACTCCCCGCTGCACATAGAGCAGTTTGTGTCTCTCATGTCTCAGTTTGAGACAGTGAGGGAGATGCCGGGCGTGGTCTCTCTGTTCCGGAGGCTGCAGTGCATTCTGGGAAAGCACACAGACCTGCTGCGAGACTTCGCTGCGTTCCTGCGACCGGAGCAGGCGCTGGAGTGCGGCCTGGTGAGAAAATCAAATACTTTACAGTTTGTGTTAGTGCTAAAGCTGGGGTACCTAACTTTATCATGTTGAAATGATGACATATTGATATAAAAGTATAATGTGTTTCACCCTCTGTCTATAAACCACCACCAGGGGGCACTTTCCAATCATCTGCCTGCATAATACAAGTTTAGAGAGGGTGGAGGGGGACAAGGGTTTAGTTAGAGAAGGAAGAGAGGAAATTATGTCACTATAAAACACAAAATGCCAACGTATATTATATTAGATTAGATTAGATTGGTTTATTTGAAAAGGGGACAGTGCAATTTCATGTAACACATGAACAAACATGGTTAAAAAAGCCAGAATTAGCCAGAAGGCTATTTTTCATCTGTAGTCCCCTGGCCAAGATGTAAAAAGGCATTAAAATACAAGCATGATAAAACATTACAATTCTTTGACACATCAATAACAACAATATAAAATATAAATTACACTGTATAATAACTAAGGGCACACAGTACCTGATTACAATATAAAAACACACAAAAACACTTTAAAAGGATACGTTAGATATACAATACAGCATAACATGCTCAGCTTTTAATGTTGGCAGACGTACATGGCAATGTACCAATTTTTCAATTTTTTCGTAAAGGCCTTGTAAGTGGTGAGCTGTCTAACCTCCTCAGGCATTGAGTTCCACTCAACGACGCCCCTCACTGACCAGGCCGAGCGACTGAAAGCACTCTTGCGCAGAGGGATTACACAGTCGCCTCTTACAGAGCCTCGAGTGACACGCTCAGAGCTGTTTCTTTGGCTGATGAACTCTGCCAGTGGAGCTGGGGCTAAATTATGTATTACTTTGTATATGAGACTCAGATCTTCTCCAAGATCCTGTTTTAAAGCTTGAATACCTAACGTTGAAACCACCACTCACTCTGTCTCTCTCTCTCTCTTTTGCTGTGTGTCTCTCTCTGGTCTCTCTCTCTCTCTGGTGTCTCTTTCTGGTCTCTCTCTCTGGTCTCTCTCTCTCTGGTGTCTCTTTCTGGTCTCTCTCTCTGGTCTCTCTCTCTCTGGTGTCTCTTTCTGGTCTCTCTCTGTTCAGTTTGAGGAGCAGCAGGCCTTCGATCGCAGTCGCCGCTTCCTTCGACAGTTGGAGATCAGCTTTGGAGATAACCCCTCCCACTACCAGAAGATCATCAAGGCTCTACAGATGGGACCAGACCTGAGTCCTACCAGCGTCTGTGAGGTGAGACCAGAGAGAGAGACCAGAGAGAGAGACCAGAGAGCGAGAGACCAGAGAGAGCGAGAAACCAGAGAGAGCGAGAAACCAGAGAGAAAATCACATCATAATGGATTCTAGAGTCTCTCATGCAATGCAGACACTTTCCAGCATATTTTTTCACAAAGCCAACATTACGAAGCCTGCCTCATCCAAACCCAGCTCCACGGCTCGTGCCGCTGTCCTCACCCCTGTTCTCCCCCTGTCCTCACCCCTGTCCTCCCCCTGTCCTCCCCCTGTCCTCCCCCTGTCCTCCCCGTCCTCACCCCTGTCCTCACCCCTGTCCTCCCCCCTGTCCTCCCCGTCCTCACCCCTGTCCTCACCCCTGTCCTCACCCCTGTCCTCACCCCTGTCCTCCCCCCTGTCCTCCCCGTCCTCACCCCTGTCCTCCCCCCTGTCCTCCCCGTCCTCCCCCCTGTCCTCCCCCTTGTACTCACCCCTGTCCTCATCCCTGTCCTCACCCCTGTCCTCCCCCCTGTCCTCATCCCTGTACTCACCCCTGTCCTCCCCCCTGTCCTCACCCCTGTCCTCACCCCTGTCCTCACCCCTGTCCTCCCCCCTGTCCTCATCCCTGTACTCACCCCTGTCCTCCCCCCTGTCCTCCCCCCTGTCCTCATCCCTGTACTCACCCCTGTCCTCCCCCCTGTCCTCCCCCTGTACTCACCCCTGTCCTCACCCCTGTCCTCCCCCCTGTCCTCATCCCTGTACTCACCCCTGTCCTCCCCCCTGTCCTCCCCCTGTCCTCACCCCTGTCCTCACCCCTGTCCTCCCCCCTGTCCTCATCCCTGTACTCACCCCTGTCCTCCCCCCTGTCCTCCCCCTGTCCTCACCCCTGTCCTCAACCCTGTCCTCACCCCTGTCCTCACCCCTGTCCTCACCCCTGTCCTCACCCCTGTCCTCACCCCTGTTCTCATCCCTGTACTCACCCCTGTCCTCACCCCTGTCCTCACCCCTGTCCTCACCCCTGTCCTCATCCCTGTCCTCATCCCTGTCCTCACCCCTGTCCTCATCCCTGTCCTCACCCCTGTCCTCATCCCTGTCCTCACCCCTGTCCTCACCCCTGTCCTCATCCCTGTCCTCACCCCTGTCCTCACCCCTGTCCTCCCCCCTGTCCTCACCCCTGTACTCACCCCTGTCCTCACCCCTGTCCTCACCCCTGTCCTCACCCCTGTACTCACCCCTGTCCTCACCCCTGTCCTCACCCCTGTCCTCACCCCTGTCCTCATCCCTGTCCTCACCCCTGTCCTCACCCCTGTCCTCACCCCTGTCCTCACCCTGTCCTCACCCTGTCCTCACCCCTGTCCTCACCCCTGTCCTCACCCCTGTCCTCACCCCTGTCCTCACCCTGTCCTCACCCCTGTCCTCACCCCTGTACTCACCCCTGTCCTCACCCCTGTCCTCACCCCTGTGGTCGTGTTGTTGCAGCTGCGCGCTCAGATGACGTCGCTGCTGAAAGGACACACTCACCTTCAGTCCGAGCTCTGGGTCTTCTTCGACGACCTGCACCCTCCCCCCGCTCAGCCCGGCCAGTTTGAGGAGGCGCAATGGCCCGAGGAGACCGAGGGGAGGGAGGGGAGGGAGGGGAGGGAGGGGAGGGAGGGGGGAGACTCCGGCGGCTTCGAGGAGGTCACTCTGCCCGAGCTGGAGGAAGAAGAAGACCGACCCAAACTCCAGCACATCCCAGTGAGACAGAGGAGGAAGGACGACAAGGTGAGAGACCAGAGAGAGAGACCAGAGAGAGAGACCAGAGAGAGAGACCAGAGAGAGAGACCAGAGAGAGAGACCAGAGAGAGAGACCAGAGAGAGAGACCAGAGAGAGAGACCAGAGAGAGAGACCAGACAGAGAGACCAGAGAGAGAGACCAGAGAGAGAGACCAGAGAGAGACCAGAGAGAGAGACCAGAGTGAGAGACCAGAGAGAGAGACCAGAGAGAGAGACCAGAGAGAGAGACCAGAGAGAGAGACCAGAGAGAGAGACCAGAGAGAGAGACCAGAGAGAGAGACCAGAGAGAGAGACCAGAGAGAGAGACCAGAGAGAGAGACCAGAGAGAGACCAGAGAGAGACCAGAGAGAGACCAGAGAGAGAGACCAGAGAGAGACCAGAGAGAGACCAGAGTGAGAGACCAGAGTGAGAGACCAGAGTGAGAGACCAGAGTGAGAGACCAGAGTGAGAGACCAGAGTGAGAGACCAGAGTGAGAGACCAGAGTGAGAGACCAGAGTGAGAGACCAGAGTGAGAGACCAGAGTGAGAGACCAGAGTGAGAGACCAGAGTGAGAGACCAGAGTGAGAGACCAGAGTGAGAGACCAGAGAGAGAGACCAGAGAGAGACCAGAGAGGGGGAGGCCAGAGAGAGACCGGTGAGAGACACCAGAGTGAGACTTGGAACCAGAGAACATGTTTATTTGACCATGGTGCTTGACCTCTGACCCCCCCTGGTCCTAAAGCCTGTCCTGTTTCCTTCAGTGCGACGACTGGTCGGGGAAACCCTGGATGTGTCTGTGTCACGATGGAACCAACACCAGCAAACACCAGAAGAAGAAGTGTCCCAGGTGTAAGGTGAGACGTCCCTGTCCCTCTGTTCTCCCCTGTCTCTGTCCTCACCTGTCTCTGTCCTCACCTGTCTCTGTCCTCACCTGTGTCTCTGTCCTCACCTGTGTCTCTGTCCTCACCTGTCTCTGTCCTCACCTGTCTCTGTCCTCACCTGTGTCTCTCTCCTCACCTGTCTCTGTCCTCACCTTTGTCTCTGTCCTCACCTGTGTCTCTGTCCTCACCTGTGTCTCTGTCCTCACCTGTGTCTCTGTCCTCACCTGTCTCTGTCCTCACCTGTGTCTCTGTCCTCACCTGTGTCTCTGTCCTCACCTGTCTCTGTCCTCACCTTTGTCTCTGTCCTCACCTGTCTCTGTCCTCACCTGTGTCTCTGTCCTCACCTGTCTCTGTCCTCACCTGTGTCTCTGTCCTCATCTGTCTCTGTCCTCACCTTTGTCTCTGTCCTCACCTGTCTCTGTCCTCACCTGTGTCTCTGTCCTCACCTGTCTCTGTCCTCACCTGTGTCTCTGTCCTCACCTCTCTCTGTCCTCATCTGTGTCTCTGTCCTCATCTGTCTCTGTCCTCACCTGTGTCTCTGTCCTCACCTGTGTCTCTGTTCTCACCTGTGTCTGTCCTCGCCTGTCTCTGTCCTCACCTGTGTCTCTGTCCTCACCTCTCTCTGTCCTCACCTGTGTCTCTGTCCTCACCTGTGTCTCTGTCCTCATCTGTCTCTGTCCTCACCTGTGTCTCTGTCCTCACCTGTGTCTCTGTTCTCACCTCTCTCTGTCCTCACCTGTGTCTCTGTCCTCACCTGTGTCTCTGTCCTCACCTGTGTCTCTGTCCACACCTGTGTCTCTGTTCTCACCTGTGTCTCTGTTCTCACCTGTGTCTCTGTCCTCACCTGTGTCTGTCCTCACCTGTGTCTGTCCTCACCTGTGTCTCTGTTCTCACCTGTGTCTCTGTCCTCACCTGTGTCTGTCCTCACCTGTGTCTCTGTCTTCACCTGTCTCTGTCCTCACCTGTGTCTGTCCTCACCTGTGTCTCTGTCCTCACCTGTGTCTCTGTCCTCACCTGTCTCTGTCCTCACCTGTGTCTCTGTTCTCACCTGTGTCTGTCCTCACCTGTGTCTGTCCTCACCTGTCTCTGTCCTCACCTGTGTCTCTGTCCTCACCTGTGTCTCTGTCCTCACCTGTGTCTGTCCTCACCTGTGTCTGTCCTCACCTGTCTCTGTCCTCACCTGTCTCTGTCCTCACCTGTGTCTCTGTCCTCACCTGTCTCTGTCCTCACCTGTGTCTCTGTCCTCACCTGTGTCTGTCCTCACCTGTGTCTGTCCTCACCTGTGTCTCTGTCCTCACCTGTGTCTCTGTCCTCACCTGTGTCTCTGTCCTCACCTGTCTCTGTCCTCACCTGTGTCTCTGTCCTCACCTGTGTCTGTCCTCACCTGTGTCTGTCCTCACCTGTGTCTCTGTCCTCACCTGTGTCTCTGTCCTCACCTCTCTCTGTCCTCACCTGTGTCTCTGTCCTCACCTGTGTCTCTGTCCTCACCTGTGTCTCTGTCCTCACCTGCGTCTGTCCTCACCTGTCTCTGTCCTCACCTGTGTCTCTGTCCTCACCTGTGTCTCTGTCCTCACCTGTGTCTATCCTCACCTGTGTCTGTCCTCACCTGTGTCTCTGTCCTCACCTGTGTCTCTGTCCTCACCTGTGTCTGTCCTCACCTGTGTCTGTCCTCACCTGTGTCTCTGTCCTCACCTGTGTCTCTGTCCTCACCTGTGTCTCTGTCCTCACCTGTCTCTGTCCTCACCTGTGTCTCTGTCCTCACCTGTGTCTCTGTCCTCACCTGTGTCTCTGTCCTCACCTGTGTCTGTCCTCACCTGTGTCTGTCCTCACCTGTGTCTCTGTCCTCACCTGTGTCTCTGTCCTCACCTCTCTCTGTCCTCACCTGTGTCTGTCCTCACCTGTGTCTCTGTCCTCACCTGCGTCTGTCCTCACCTGCGTCTGTCCTCACCTGCGTCTGTCCTCACCTGCGTCTGTCCTCACCTGTGTCTCTGTCCTCACCTGTGTCTCTGTCCTCACCTGCGTCTGTCCTCACCTGTGTCTCTGTCCTCACCTGTGTCTGTCCTCACCTGTCTCTGTCCTCACCTGTCTCTGTCCTCACTTGTGTCTCTGTCCTCACCTGTGTCTCTGTCCTCACCTGTGTCTCTGTCCTCACCTGTGTCTGTCCTCACCTGTGTCTGTCCTCACCTGTCTCTGTCCTCACCTGTGTCTCAGGTCAGAGTCGTGTCCAGGGCCATGAAGAGCCTCCACCCGCTGTACTCTCCGATGAGCTGTGAGAAAGAAGCCAGTCCTCAGCCAGGTACCAGTCTCTCTCTGGTCTCTCTCTGGTGTCTCTCTCTCTGGTCTCTCTCGTGTCTCTCTCTCTGTTCTCTCTCTCTGGTCTCTCTCTCTCTGGTCTCTCTCTGGTCTCTCTCTCTGGTCTCTCTCTGGTCTCTCTCTGGTCTCTCTCTGGTCTCCCTCTGGTCTCTCTCTCTGGTCTCTCTCGCTGGTCTCTCTATGACCTCTCTATGGTCTCTCTCTGGTCTCTCGCTGGTCTCTCTCTCTAGTGTCTCTCTGGTCTCTCTAAATTCACATATTTAAATTGTCTCTGTCTGAGCAGAGCTGAGTGTTGCATGCTGGGAGGACGAGGAGAAAGAGGACACGGAACAGACTGAGGCTCTGTCTGCTGCCGGTCTCCCATCCTATGACTGCCCTGGCCCTGCTCCAGTGTCCTCTGTGGCCCAGGGCAGTCCCACACCATCCTCCACGCAGGTAATAAATCTATTTGTGTTTGAGCTTCTTTGTCTTTTCTCTTGTGATCCTTAAACCTCCTTTAAAGCTTAGGTACGTGACTTTCAGACCACAACAATAGAGCTCTGTCGTATCAAACCCATGAGGGGGAGGCCAGAGAGGGGGAGGCCAGAGAGGAGGAGGCCAGAGAGGGGGAGGCCAGAGAGGGGGAGGCCAGAGAGAGGGAGGCCAGAGAGGGGGAGGCCAGAGAGGGGGAGGCCAGAGAGGGGGAGGCCAGAGAGGGGGAGGCCAGAGAGGGGGAGGCCAGAGAGAGGGAGGCCAGAGAGAGGGAGGCCAGAGAGAGGGAGGCCAGAGAGAGGGAGGCCAGAGAGGGGGAGGCCAGAGAGGGGGGGCCAGAGAGGGGGGGCCAGAGAGGGGGGGCCAGAGAGGGGGGAGGCCAGAGACGGGGGGGCCAGAGAGGGGGAGGCCAGAGAGGGGGAGGCCAGAGAGGGGGAGGCCAGAGAGAGAGAGAGGCCAGAGAGAGAGAGAGGCCAGAGAGAGAGAGAGGCCAGAGAGAGAGAGAGGCCAGAGAGAGAGAGAGGCCAGAGAGAGAGAGAGAGAGACTTTAAGGATTGTTAAAACAAAAGTTACGACTGTAACAACGGGTATATGAAGCACTGGATGATCATCCTCGCGCATGCATAGGTCGAGGGTCAAATAACAACAAAGTCACCCGTGACCTCCGGTAGCTCACGCGAGTCTATAAGCACAGTCCCTAGAACCTTTCTCGCACAAGGATTCCAAGGCACCAGTTGCTCCGGCGGTCATCTAGGATTCACAGGACCGTAGTTACAGTCGTAACTTTCGTTCTATTTCATGCTTCCTGACCGCCACAGGCGGTGCTTAAGCACTGGATGACGAATATTAGCAAGGTTGAGGAAACCAACCAGAACCTCACGTAACTATGACACTGACGAGCAGTACTGCAGAACCCCCTGCAGAGGGTACTAGCAGCAGCATTCACCCGATAGAACCTGGCAAAGGTGTTTTGGGACGACCATGAGGCCGCCGCACAGATGATGTCTAACAACACACCATTCACAGCAGCACACAAAGTCAAAATGCCCCTCGTAGAATGGCACCTCACAGTATAGGCCGTAAACGCTAGTACGGACCCTGGAGGAACCACACCCAAAGCATCAGGTGACCGTGGTCTGGGTGGAGAAGCCAACATCCAGCAGTGACAGGAGATCCGTCCTGGAGGGAAGGGGCCCCGCCACGCCGCAGCAGAGCCTGAGCAGAAGGAGAAACCACGTCCTCTCCGACCAATTGATCAGACTGTGTGTCGACGTGAGCCAGTCTCCAGGAGTCACCGCCTGGAGGACCTGCCTGACATTTTGAAAGGAAGGACCTTCAAGAACACATTCAAACCCCTAAGGTCCAAGACCGGTCGCAAGTCGCCTGTCTTTTTCAGCACAAGAAAATGATAGGAATAAAAAACCCCTGGGTCCAGGCCCAAAAGCGTTCGTGTCCAGTGAAGTGCATATCTCCTGAACAAGGACCCGGCCAGAAACATGAGGAAAAAGTGGCCATGACCCATGCATCGGGAGATTGGGCCATCCAGTAATCAAGTTGTCCTGGGGTAAACCGTCCCACCACCGGCCTCGTTGCCTCACTATGAAGTACACCGACCCTTTGTGGGTCTGGGCAGGGAAACGACTGGGCCGCAGCCTTAGAAGGAGAAAATTCATGGTGCCTAGCACCATGAGCTGACGCCCCATCCACTGCCCGGGTACAGAAAAACTCACAACCCACAAAAAAGGCACACAACCAATACCAAGCGGTATAAGGTACCAACAAAACACTGATAGCAAACAAAGACAATCAACGTGGACGAGAAACTCTGCACCGGCTGACGAGCATCACAGGGCTACAGGCAACGCTTGGCTTTATAGACTCGCGTGAGCTACCGCAGGTCACCGTGACTTTAATGTTGTTAGACTCTGGATCTGTGCAAGGATGATCCTCCACCTCTGGTGGTATTTATATCACTACTAAGTTACGTACCCCAGCTTTAAAGACACATATACCTTTGCCTGTGTTTGCAGCCTGTGTCTCCCCTCGACTCCCCCCTCCGCAGCAGAGACTCCCCCCTCAGCAGCAGAGACTCCCCCCCTCAGCAGCAGAGACTCCCCCCTCAGCAGCAGACACTCCCCCCTCAGCAGCAGACACTCCCCCTTCAGCAGCAGACACTCCCCCCTCAGCAGCAGACACTCCCCCCTCAGCAGCAGACACTCCCCCCTCGGAGCCTGCGGTCTGCGCCAAGAACATGTCTCTGACCCCAAGCGGAGAGAAGGTCATTCTATGGACCAGGTCAGTGCTGTTCTCTGTGAGGGACACACACACACACATAAACAAAGACACACACACACAGACACTCACACACACAGAGACACACATACACACAGACAGACACACACGCACACACACACACACACACACACACAGAGACACACATACACACAGACAGACACACACACAGAGATACGTCCTGCTGAAGAGTGTGTGTGTGTTCAGAGATGCAGACAGAGTGATCCTGACTCACTGTCAGCAGGAGGGCGCCAACCCCAACACCTTCCACCAGGTGTCCACAGAGCTGAGGAACAAGACCCCAGAGCAGGTACTGACTCTACTGTCTCTGACTCTACTGTCTCTGTCTCTGCTGTCTCTGTCTCTACTGTCTCTGACTCTGTCTCTGACTCTGTCTCTACTCTCTCTGACTCTACTGTCTCTGACTCTACTGTCTCTGACTCTGTCTCTACTGTCTCTGTCTCTATTGTCACTGTCTCTACTGTCTCTGACTCTATTGTCGCTGACTCTGTCTCTACTATATCTGTCTCTACTGTCTCTGTCTCTATTGTCGCTGACTCTACTGTCTCTGTCTCTGTCTCTACTGTCTCTGTCTCTACTGTCTCTGACTCTTCTGTCTCTACTGTCTCTGTCTCTACTGTCTCTGACTCTACTGTCTCTGACTCTGTCTCTACTGTCTCTGTCTCTACTTCTACTGTCTCTGACTCTTCTGTCTCTACTGTCTCTGTCTCTACTGTCTCTGTCTCTACTCCAGTGTTTTTCAACCTTTTTTGAGCCAAGGCACACTTTTTTCACTGAAAAAATCTTGCGGCACACTTCCAGGAGAAAATGTAAAAATGTATACAGTACTAATGTAAAAATATATACTGTACATACTCTGTGTGATATATAAAGTATATCTTATCTTATCTTATAATGTATACAGTATACTCTGTAGCCTATATTCACAATATACAGTTATTCTCATCAAAATGCTTAAGTCCAGGCCTTGACATTAAGCTTTATTTAACATTTCTCGATACAATAACAAGAGTTTGGTAATAAAGTGGCACTAACTGTGTGGAAAAAAACTAAGAAAATCCACTCTCTGCCCAAATAGTCAAATAATAACTCACACAAAGAACATGCATTGTTAGTGCATGGGAAACATTTTGGTATCCGAGCTTTAAATTCAGGAGTTTTGGATGAGGGACACGGGAGGTCCTGAACGCGAGTCCATGGTTCTGTCCGGTCCGCATGTCTGTGGTTCTGTCCACTCGACTACGGTCTGCGCTCGGTACCCAGTTCAGAAGTGCGTTCGCGAGAGCTGTTGTACAAAAATTGTACATTTCATAGTTAAACCACTACAACGCGGCCACAGCTGCCCCGGGGCGAGAGCGGAGGATGTTAATCCTGTTCAGAAACGGCATAATTCATTTTCAAAAACGTCTCTATCACTTTCACTTCTCACTCGCCACAAAGCTCTTGTCTCGCTCCCTCCCACATTTGTTGGTCGCATCCAATTTTACCTTTCTCGCCACAATGCTGACCTGTAGCCAGTGGTCGCATCCAATTTTTCAGTTTCAAAGTACTTAGCTATCTGCTGCCATCTACTGATTTGAAAAAGTATTACATGGTTACTCCACAGTTCAAAACAAGTCACCGCTCGTCAACAGCGAATGCAGTTATTTTTAGACAAAGTAGACGAATTTCTCACGGCACACCAGACAATATCATACGGCACACTAGTGTGCCGCGGCACAGTGGTTGAAAAACACTGCTCTACTCCCCTGGTCCTGGCTCTGGTCTGATTAGTTGTTCTTCTGTGCAGGTTTCTCAGAGGTTCCAGGATCTGATGCGGTTGTTTCACACAACGGCGAGAACCAGCAACACTGAAGAACCAGCAACAACTAAACCCGATTGAACTGGGACTGAACCCGGTTTGGGGATCCAAGGATTTAGGTCCTGATGAACTGTTTTTTACTGTAAATTGGTTGTAAATATTTTGTATACATTTTTAAATAAACAATAAGTATTTTCTAATGGACTACTACTGAAGCCACAACTTCCTACCAAACTGTGCTAACGCGCCCACGCACGCGCACATGCACGCGCACACACACAGAGGAATTCACATTGTAGGATTTTTAAAGAATTTATTTGTAAATGATGGTTGAAAATAAGTATTTGGTCACTTCAAACAAGGAAGATCTGTGGCTCTCACAGACCTGTAACTTCTTCTTTAAGAAGCTCTTCTGTCCTCCACTCGTTACCTGTATTAATGGCACCTGTTTGAACTCATCTGTATAAAAGACACCTGTCCACAGCCTCAAACAGTCAGACTCCAAACTCCACTATGGCCAAGACCAAAGAGCTGTCGAAGGACACCAGGAAAAGAATTGTAGACCTGCACCAGACTGGGAAGAGTGAATCTACAATAGGCAAGCAGCTTGGTGTGAACAAATCAACTGTGGGAGCAATTATCAGAAAATGGAAGACATACGTTTTCTGTCTGCAGCCAAACATGATACATACAGTGACGTCAATGGAAAACCATCTCTAGACGGAGAGGAAAATAGTGAAAAACGCAACTGACGTCTAAGATCAGAGATCCTTTATTCGTGGCACAGTGAGGAATTGTCAATGTTGCAGCGCACAGACAGGACAGTAGTAAGAGACACGTTTGACTTGTGTCATTGTCCTCCAAATTAATGGAAATAAAATAAATAAAAACTTGTGATTTATGTTGTAAAAAGTGTTCACTGCAGCTTAAGGAGTTTATGGATGGCTCAGTCCTTTTGGTTGATTACCGCCATCTTCGTCTTCTGTCTTCATGACGAGCAGGTATCAGATAAAAAGACACATTTGGCTTCTGTCCTGTTAGAACAACCAACCGCACTGCACAATATCACAGTTGTGGCTGTTATTCGCTGAAATAGGTTATTTTGGTTAAGTTTCCGAAGGCTCGCAGTTAGACTTCTGCCGTCTGTCATGGAGAGTGGGCGTGGCCATTTGTGCAGCTTCACTGTGAACCCAGAGGCCCTCACCTCAGACCCAGCCCTGATGGGTTCATGACCCCAGAGGAAATCCACCTTTTGGCCTGTGGAAGTGAAGATCTGCTGAGGTAAAGCACCTCAGAGAGTATTATTATTACAAGTATTACTGACGGTCAGAGGCTCTGGGGGTGAGACTTTGAGGGTGAGGCTCTGGGGGTGAGACTTTGACAGACTCAGTCTCAGGACCTGGAGAGATGAGACCCTATCACTGCTGAGGGAGCAACATGACCAGTTCTATTGTGAAGCCAGTAGGGGGGGCTGGAGAGCTTCTTGGATGTTAGAATGAAATAAGGAAACACTTAGGCGTATTTAAAACTCTTTTGCCATGTGTAATAAAGGCTTTAAGATGTAACTTTTGAGTGCCTCGGTCTGAACCTTCTGTTGGGAAACGTTTAAACGTGTTCTTTTGGGAGAGAACACTTTAGTGACTAGTGTTTGAGTGAATACAGAGTATTTACTGTAGTTTGTATATCACAGATACTTCATTAGTTTCATATATCTATAGTTCTTGGTGCTTTGTGAAGTGGGTCATAAAGGGATGAAAATGAATGTTCCTGTTGTAATAAGTTTATTCTGAAATAAACTCATATTCCACAGTATCGACTCAGAATCCACTGGTCCTGAAGAAAGAGTTGTTTTGCAAACAATGATTTTCTGAAGTAAAAGTAAAATAATGCAAATATTGAGTATTTTTATTTACTCATGGAAATCCATCGAAGTCAGAAATACAGTAAACTCAAAGTTCTGTTGCACGAGTATTTACATTTCATTTGATTCATGTACAGAATATTGTTTGTTAGAGAGAAACGATGGTCACACGATGGTCTCAAATGAGGACCAGGTTCAAAGTTATTGTCCAGAGGATACAAAGACAATTACCTAAAACCATTATTTACTTTTCAACCCTTGCACTATGACCAAGTGTAAAGCTAACTGCAGTAAAACATGTGAAACGTTGATAATAAAGTGCACACATTACTGTGGCGTGTCAGTGTGTGTCTCTGCTGGTCCTTGGTAGTGTGTGAGCAGACAACACACTGCCCAGAGCTGGTTGATGGTGCCGGACAAGGAGAGCGGCACCACACTGTCCCAGATATGGTACTGCTTCACTCTGCGCAGCGCCCTCTGCACCTGCGCCCTCAGACCAGCCATGGCTCGTGTTTTGTGGGCCTCCGCCGCAGAGAGTCTGGATGTGCTTTTTAAAGGTGGAAGGATTAAGTGAGCACCAGTTTGTGCCAACTCTTCCTCAGCGACAAACCCCTCGTGGGCCACGACCCCATCTCCACAGGACAGCAGGGGGAGTAGACCACATCTCATGGTGAGTTCTTTGTCCGACATGGAGCCAGTGAACAGCTTTGACACAAACGTAACCACTCCACAGGGAGCGACGCCAACCACGCCCTTCAGAGTGTTGCTTTTAGAGCTCCATGTTTGTGATGGTAAAGTGGGGGAGGCCGGTCTCTCACAGCGCACCGCGGCACAGTCCACGATCACACGCACAGCGGGACAGAGCCGGCGGAACGTGTGTGGCATTGTTGCTTGTACCTGAGCTCTCGTCATCCAAACTGGCTCCGCCCCAAGAACTTGAAACAGGTAGTTTGCCCAAACGATGACGACACGGCTCACGGTGGAGACGCTGACGTCAAAGATGGACGCCAGCGCTTCTTCTTTCAGTCCTGCAGCAACGCGACACAGGAACAGGAAACACTCATCTATCAGAGGGAGCTGGTGCTGGAGAGCAGGGCCCTGTGCCTTTGTCCAGGAGACCAGGCGAGAAGCAGACGGCTGCAGAGCGTCCCAAAACGCCATGAACACCTGCTCTGACGGGAACCGGGTGTAAACACGGAAATCGCTGTCAGAGGCACAGAAGCGGTGGCACTGCGGCTGCTTCAGCGGGGGGGTCACCTCTGCTGGGGGTAACTGTTGTTCCGACTCCAGCCTCTGGGTTTCTTCTTCTGCATCTGAGGAAAAACAAGAACAATATATAGTTCAAGATGCAGACCGTGATTTTTTTAATATTGAGGGAAATGTCCCTAAACCCTAAAAGTAGTCGAGTTATCGTGTGTTTTCAAAAAGTTATGGAATTGACTGATGCCTATAGTCTACAAAACATAATTAAAAATATTTGAGTGGACTGATAAAAATAAACCAATGAGATGTGTTTACCCCCTTCAACATCTTCCTGTTTATCTCGAGTGCCGTCTCGGGGGGAGAGGTTTCCAGTTGGTGCTACGGCTAAGCTAACACAATAGCACCTTTAAGTGAAAAGCATAAAACAAACTATATAGCACTTTTCATTGTGACGCGCACACACACACACACACACACACACAGTAATAATTATCTATGGCAAGAGCTAAAGCAGATTAAGTAGATGAAGGAAACATAAATGCACTCACCAGCTTTGGGAGGAAGAGCATAGTCGTGGTCAGCCATGGCAGATAACCATCCCTGTCCTTCAGCTGTTTCCACAGAGTCTTCTTCCTCTCGGAGACCGACCCCCGGCCTGGATCTCTCACACACGGACTGAGAGGGATTGAAGTTGTTCCAGGGAAACTTGGACGGTATTGCACCTTTCTTCAGACGTCTGCGGCCCCCTGGAGAGGTGTAAATCTCGTCATCCTGAAAATGAAGGCTGCACACGTAGGTACTGCTGCGCAGAACTGAAAAGGAAGCATCTCTACGGATCACTCTCAACCAGACCGACCGAGTCTCTTTTGCCTTTGGAAATTCGTGAAAACTCAGATACGGCTGTGCCTGTTTGTTAGATCTACAAAAAGGAACGCTACACCAGCATTTCCAGCTAGATTGAGCCATTGTTTGGAAAGATCCAACAGGAGCCGCTCGCAACCGGAAGTGGTCTTACACGGATATCCCTTTTTCCCGCTCTGTGACGTCAACCGTGACGGTATTTCCGGTTTGGGTCAGGCTGCCGTTAATTCGGGCGTTCTGCTCTCCCAAAATTTCATCCAGTGAGCGGCGCTGTGATCAAAAAATGACACCGTTTGTTGCCCAGTTCACTTCCGGTTGATTTCATACAATGGCGAATATGGCTCACGAAAACAACAAGCGATTGACAGTGCCTGAATTGCGTGAAAGGTTGAAGCGAAAGGGTATTTGCAGTGTGGGAAAACGAAAGGAGGAATTGTTGTTGCTAGTTCAACGAGCGGATGGTGTTTATGAAGATTTAGAAGAAGATGACAGCGAGCAGAGTGAACGAAAACGGCTGTGTGTGCGAGTGACAGATGGTAACAATGAGAATGAAGTTCAGCTAAGAGGGAAGAATGTGAATTGGACGGATGATTTGCGCGATATGCCACTAGTTAGAGACGGGAATGTATTTGCATATCTGATGCATCAGTGTAAATGGGGATGGGAGAGAGTGAACAATTTCGAAAAAGATGATGGATACATGATGTTCAAAGATGTGCATGTAGAGAAGATGAGGCTTGGGACCATAACTGGACACACACCGTTAGTTAGTATCTGATCACTTGAATGCATCTCCTACACTAGAACAGCATAATACATCAAATAATGATTATAGTTAGATTTTAGACACTTACTTCCTACATAGTCTTCCCTTTGACTTGGTACAGGATTAACAATTTCAGCCCCAACTTCAGGTAGATCATCACTGCTTTCCACAGTCTCCGGCTGGTTAGATATCCATGGACAATCATAGACTCGCTCATCACGGCTATTGTCATTCTCATCCATCATTGCACATGTCCTTCTGCTGCTTCTTGGATTTAAGGGCTGACCCCAGTTATTCCAAGCAAAATATTTTGGATCAGAGGTTGACGTTTTATCAGCTCTAATGGAGTCCTGATCAAAATGTCTTGAACACAAGCGGGTTAATCTGTTAACATTAAAGACATCTACGTAGCCAGTAGAGTCCCTTCCACCCCTCCTTACGAGGCGCTTCCACCTGCTGATGTCTCTGGGGTTTTTCGGCCACTTGACCCACCGCACGCTTGACATCCACGGATACCGACTCAGTTTTTTATTGCTGTTAGATCGACAATTAGCGGCGGCACACTTGAAGCCCATGATAAAACCGGATTCAACAGAAAATGACGAAAACACTCAACCATTTAGAGAAAATGCGCCGGGCAGAGAGAACCGGAAGTTGCGAAGGCAACTGTTACCCATAATGCAACGCAAAATTCAGTCGCTCCCCCGCCCATCGGAACAGTCAGACAGCCAGAGGTTAAAACGAAAATAAAAGCATGTACAGTCAGGACCTTGTGTGCAGTACAATCGTCCTGACAACTTTTTATTAATTTTATATTCATCAGAAAATCATTGTAGAAATGTCTAAAGGCGTCTGCTTGCTATATATACATTTATGAATGAAATATTTGGCCTGTACTATCAATACATTTATAATGGGAAAAAATAAAATCCTTTTTCTTGCCGTATCAAAAAACAAAAGATCACATGTTGACTGCGCTGTCGTCTGTTCGCCACAAGGGGGCGCAGGAAGCGGTGACATCACTTCCTGTTTACATCTGACACATTTCCAACATGGCGCTTTCGGAGTGAGATTTGCACGCTCTGTTCTGTAGTGTATGGTCTGGGTCAGTTCTGGATCAGGTCTGGGTCTGGGTTGGGTCCTGGTTTTGTTCCGGAACCTCCCGGGGCTCCTTTTTAGCAGCGGACATGCGTAAGAGTCTCCCCGGGTGACCGTGCTCTCCTCCCCGCCGGACATGCCTCTGACTCCCGCTAACCAGGCCCAGCTGGTCCGCTCCTCTCAGAAGGACCAGTTCTACCAGAGCGCCCTGAGGAACTCCGCCAATGAAGCTTTCCAGACCGCGGCAGGTACCGAGCTCCTGCGGGGTCTGACCTCATGACGACCCTGCTTTAAAGCTGGGGGACGTAACTTTCACACCACACATTTCTCCTCTGTGAGATTAATAAAGTACATCTTATCTTAACAGAACTCTGTATCAAACCCAAGTCTCTGGTTCTGGCTCTAAACAGTTCCTTCTGTTTCTAGTTTCATGTGTCTCTTTTTTTTTACATCAAAGCTCTCAGCCAATCAGCTCTCAGCCCATAGAGTCAGACAGTGACGCTCAGGGCCCATTCTGTGAGTCCCTGTGCGCTACATAAAATAAATAACCTTGTGTGTCTTCAGGTTCTCGGCGCTGGCTCCAGTGGCGGCGAGAGGTGGAGCTGCTGACGGACCTGACCTACTTCACTCTGACCACGTTCTGCGGTGAGTTTGTCTACTCTCTCTGGTCTCTCTCTGGTCTCTCTGGTCTCTCTTTCTGGTCTCTCTTTCTGGTCTCTCTCTGGTCTCTCTCTCTGGTCTCTCTCTCTGGTCTCTCTCTGGTCTCTCTCTCTGGAATCTTTCTGGTCTCTCTCTGGTCTCTTTCTGGTCTCTCTCTCTGGTCTCTTTCTGGTCTCTCTTTCTGGTCTCTCTCTCTGGTCTCTTTCTGGTCTCTCTTTCTGGTCTCTCTCTCTGGTCTCTTTCTGGTCTCTCTTTCTGGTCTCTCTCTCTGGTCTCTTTCTGGTCTCTCTTTCTGGTCTCTCTCTCTGGTCTCTTTCTGGTCTCTCTCTGGTCTCTCTCTCTGGTCTCTTTCTGGTCTCTCTCTCTGGTCTCTTTCTGGTCTCTCTCTGGTCTCTCTCTGGTCTCTTTCTGGTCTCTCTCTCTGGTCTCTCTCTGGTCTCTCTCTGGTCTCTTTCTGGTCTCTCTCTCTGGTCTCTCTCTCTGGTCTCTTTCTGGTCTCTCTCTGGTCTCTTTCTGGTCTCTTTCTGGTCTCTCTCTGGTCTCTCTCTCTGGTCTCTTTCTGGTCTCTCTCTCGGGTCTCTTTCTGGTCTCTCTCTGGTCTCTCTCTCTGGTCTCTCTCTGGTCTCTCTCTGGTCTCTTTCTGGTCTCTTTCTGGTCTCTCTCTGGTCTCTCTCTGGTCTCTCTCGCTTTCTGGTCGCTCTCCTCTCTCTGGTCTCTCTCTCTCCTCTCTCTCTGGTCTCTCTCTGGTCTCTCTCTGGTCTCTCTCGCTTTCTGGTCGCTCTCCTCTCTCTGGTCTCTCTCTCTCCTCTCTCTCTGGTCTCTCTCTCTGGTCTCTCTCTGGTCTCTTTCTGGTCTCTCTCTCTGGTCTCTTTCTGGTCTCTCTCTGGTCTCTCTCTGGTCTCTCTCTCTGGTCTCTTTCTGGTCTCTCTCTCTGGTCTCTCTCTCTGGTCTCTTTCTGGTCTCTCTCTGGTCTCTCTCTGGTCTCTTTCTGGTCTCTTTCTGGTCTCTTTCTGGTCTCTCTCTGGTCTCTCTCTGGTCTCTCTCGCTTTCTGGTCGCTCTCCTCTCTCTGGTCTCTCTCTCTCCTCTCTCTCTGGTCTCTCTCTGGTCTCTCTCTGGTCTCTCTCTGGTCTCTCTCGCTTTCTGGTCGCTCTCCTCTTTCTGGTCTCTCTCTCTCCTCTCTCTCTGGTCTCTCTCTCTGGTCGTTCTCTCTTTCTGGTCTTTCTCTCTCTCTGGTCTCTCTCTGGTCTCTCTCTGGTCTCTCTCGCTTTCTGGTCGCTCTCTTTCTGGTCTCTCTCTCTCCTCTCTCTCTGGTCTCTCTCTCTCTCTCTCTGGTCTCTCTCTCTTTCTGGTCTTTCTCTCTCTCTGGTCTTTCTCTCTCTCTGGTCTTTCTCTCTCTCTGGTCTTTCTCTCTCTCTGGTCGCTCTCCTCTCTGGTCGCTCTCTCCTCTCTCTCTCTCTCCTCTCTCTCTCTCCTCTCTCTCTGGTCCCTCTGCTCTCTCTCTCCTCTCTCTCTGGTCCCTCTGCTCTCTCTCTCCTCTCTCTCCTCTCTCTCTGGTCCCTCTGCTCTCTCTCTCCTCTCTCTCTGGTCCTCTCTCTCTCTCTCTCCTCTCTCTCTGGTCCCTCTGCTCTCTCTCTCTCTCTCTCTGGTCCTCTGCCTCTCTCTCCTCTCTGGTCCCTTGTCCTCTCTCTCTGGTCCTCTGCTCTCTCTCTCTCTCTCTGGTCCCTCTGCTCTCTCTCTCTCTCTCTCTCTCTCTCTGGTCCCTCTGCTCTCTCTCTCCTCTCTCTCCTCTCTCTCTGGTCCCTCTGCTCTCTCTCTCCTCTCTCTCTGGTCCCTCTGCTCTCTCTCTCCTCTCTCTCTGGTCCCTCTGCTCTCTCTCTCTCTCTCCTCTCTCTCTGGTCCCTCTGCTCTCTCTCTCCTCTCTCTCTGGTCCCTCTGCTCTCTCTCTCCTCTCTCTCTGGTCCCTCTGCTCTCTCTCTCTCTTCTCTGGTCCCTCTGCTCTCTCTCCCCTCTCTCTCTGGTCCCTCTGCTCTCTCTCTCTCTCTCTCTGGTCCCTCTGCTCTCTCTCTCTCTCTCCTCTCTCTCTGGTCCTCTGCTCTCTCTCTCTCTCTCTTCTCTCCCCTCTCTAACTCCCCCTTGTTCCCCTCAGGGTTCCAGACTCTGGGGGAGGAGTATGTTGGGGTGGTGCTGGTGGACTCGTCCCAGACCCGGGTCCCCTCCCTGGTTCGGCGCCTGGTCTTCGTCCTGGGACACTCACTGGTGCCGTACCTGGTGGAGCGCGGGCTGCAGAGTGTGGAGAGAGAGCTGGAGCCGGAGAGTCGCGGCCACAGTCAGCGGAACGAGCCGTGGAGCCGTGTTTGGGTGAATGAAGCTCTCACAATTAATGTTGGAAATATCCTCTAGTTCACGAGGAAGAGAAACTTACACATTATAATGGTCTCTCTCTGGTCTCTCTCTCTCTGGTCTCTCTCCCTGGTCTCTCTCTCTCTGGTCTCTCTCCCTGGTTTCTCTCTCTGGTCTCTCTCTGGTCTCTATCTCTGGTCTCTCCCTGGTCTCTCTCTCTGGTCTCTCTCTCTGGTCTCTCTCTCTGGTCTCTCTCTCTGGTCTCTCTCTCTGGTCTCTCTCTCTGGTCTCTCTCTCTGATCTCTCTCCCTGGTCTTTCTCTCTGGTCTCTCTCTGGTCTCTCTCTCTGGTCTCTCTCTCTGGTCTCTCCTTTGTCTCTCTCCCTGGTCTCTCTCTCTGGTCTCTCTCTCTGGTCTCTCTCTCTGGTCTCTGCTGGTGTACCTGGTCATGCTGCTCTTCTGGTGTCTCTCTCCCTCTCTCCGTTCTCCCTCTCTCTCTCTGGTCTCTCTGGTCTCTCTCTCTCTCTCTGGCCTCTCTCTCTGGTCTCTCTCTCTCTCTGGTCTCTCTCTCTCTCTCTGGCCTCTCTCTCTGGTCTCTCTCTCTGGTCTCTCTCTCTGGCCTCTCTCTCTGGCCTCTCTGGTCTCTCTCTGGTCTCTCTCTCTGATCTCTCTCTCTGGTCTCTCTCTCTGGTCTCTCTCTCTCTCTGGTCTCTCTCTCTCTCTCTGGCCTCTCTCTCTGGTCTCTCTCTCTGGTCTCTCTCTGGTCTCTCTCTCTCTCTGGTCTCTCTCTCTCTCTCTGGCCTCTCTCTCTGGCCTCTCTCTCTGGTCTCTCTCTGGTCTCTCTCTGGCCTCTCTGGTCTCTCTCTGGCCTCTCTCCCTGGTCTCTCTCTCTGGTCTCTCTCTCTGGCCTCTCTGGTCTCTCTCTCTTTGGCCTCTCTCTGGTCTCTCTCTGTCCTCTCTCTGATCTCTCTCTCTGGCTCTCTGGTCTCTCTCTCTGGTCTCTCTCTCTGGTCTCTCTCTCTGGCCTCTCTGGTCTCTCTCTGGTCTCTCTCTGGCCTCTCTCTCTGGCCTCTCTCCCTGGTCTCTCTCTCTGGTCTCTCTCTCTGGCCTCTCTGGTCTCTCTCTGGTCTCTCTCTCTGATCTCTCTCTCTGGTCTCTCTCTCTGGTCTCTCTCTCTCTGGTCTCTCTGGTCTCTTTCTGGTCTCTCTCTCTGGTCTCTCTCTCTGGTCTCTCTCTGGTCTCTCTCTCTGGTCTCTCTGGTCTCTCTCTGGTCTCTCTCTGGTCTCTCTCTCTGGTCTCTCTCTGGTCTCTCTCTGGTCTCTCTCTGGTCTCTCTCTCTGGTCTCTCTCTGGTTCCAGGTCTCTGGTTGGATGCGGTCACTGACCCCGGACCAGCGAGGCATGTGTGCGTTGCTGGTGCGTGCTGTGCGTCACACGCTGCAGCGGCTGCATCAGCTCCACACTGCTCTGTTCTACATGAGAGGAGCCTTCTACCACCTCAGCAGGAGAGCAGCCGCACTCTCATATGTACGCACAACACACACACATGTACGCACAACACACACATGTACGCACAACACACACATGTACGCACAACACACACACGTACGCACAACACACAAGTACGCACAACACACACACACACACACACATGTACGCACAACACACACATGTACGCACAACACACACACACGTACGCACAACACACACACATGTACGCACAACACACAAGTACGCACAACACACACACACACACACACATGTACGCACAACACACACATGTACGCACAACACACACATGTACGCACAACACACACATGTACGCACAACACACGTACGCACAACACACACACATGTACGCACAACACACACACATGTACGCACAACACACACACACGTACGCACAACACACACACATGTACGCACAACACACACACACACACATGTACGCGCAACACACACACACACACATGTACGCACAACACACACACGTACGCACAACACACACACACACGTACGCACAACACACACACATGTACGCACAACACACACATACGTACGCACAACACACGTGTACGCACAACACACACACGTACGCACAACACACACACATGTACGCACAACACACACACACGTACGCACAGCACATACACTCGCACAACACACACACACGTACGCACAACACACACATACGTACGCACAACACACGTGTACGCACAACACACACACGTACGCACAACACATGTACGCACAACACACACACATGTACGCACAACACACACACGTACGCACAACACATGTACGCACAACACACACACATGTACGCACAACACACACACAAGTATGCACAACACACACGCATGTACGCACAACACACACATACGTACGCACAACACACGTGTACGCACAACACACACATACGTACGCACAACACACACGTACGCACAACACATACAGAGACACACACACAGACATAGACAAACACACACAGAGACACACACACACAGAGACACACACACACAGAGACACACACGTGAGCAGTGGTCTGACAGTCACGTCCCCAGCTTTAGGTGATGTCACATGATAAACTATGAATAGTGATTAATACTCGGACCATGTGTCTCTGCACCAGCTGCGTCTGAGGCCCTCAGATGGTGACACCAGCGTCAGGACCAGCTACGGCCTGTTGGGGGCGCTCTCTCTGCTGCAGCTGCTGATCACTGCTCTACTGCAACACAACATCCTCAGGCAGAGAGAGAGACCCTACAGAGAGCAGCGAGAGAGACCAGAGGGAGAGAGACACCAGAGGAGCAGCATGACCAGGTACACCAGCAGAGACCAGAGAGAGAGACCAGAGAGAGAGACCAGAGAGAGGGACCAGAGAGAGAGACCAGAGAGAGAGACCAGAGAGAGAGACCAGAGAGAGGGACCAGAGAGAGGGACCAGAGAGGGAGAGACCAGAGAGAGAGACCAGAGGGAGAGACCAGAGAGAGGGACCAGAGAGAGGGACCAGAGAGGGAGAGACCAGAGAGAGAGACCAGAGGGAGAGACCAGAGAGAGGGACCAGAGAGAGGGACCAGAGAGGGAGAGACCAGAGAGAGAGACCAGAGGGAGAGACCAGAGAGGGAGACCGGAGGGAGAGAGAGACCAGAGAGAGGGACCAGAGAGAGGGACCAGAGAGGGAGAGACCAGAGAGAGGGACCAGAGAGAGGGACCAGAGAGGGAGAGACCAGAGAGAGAGACCAGAGAGAGAGACCAGAGAGAGGGACCAGAGAGAGGGACCAGAGAGGGAGAGACCAGAGAGGGAGAGACCAGAGGGAGAGACCAGAGAGGGAGACCGGAGGGAGAGAGGGAGACCGGAGGGAGAGAGGGAGACCAGAGGGAGAGAGGGAGACCAGAGGGAGAGAGGGAGACCAGAGAGAGGGAGAGAGACCAGAGGGAGAGACGCCAGAGGACCAGCATGGCCAGGTACACAAGCAGAGACCAGAGAGACAGACCAGAGAGACAGACCAGAGAGACAGACCAGAGAGACAGACCAGAGAGACAGACCAGAGAGACAGACCAGAGAGAGACCAGAGAGAGACCAGAGAGAGACCCGAGAGAGACCCGAGAGAGACCCGAGAGAGACCCGAGAGAGAGACCAGAGAGAGACCAGAGAGAGAGACCAGAGAGAGACACCAGAGAGAGACACCAGAGAGAGACACCAGAGAAAGACACCAGAGAGAGACACCAGAGAAAGACACCAGAGAGAGACACCAGAGAGAGAGACCAGAGAGAGAGACCAGAGAGAAAGACCAGAGGGAGAGAGACACCAGTGGAGCAGCATGACCAGGTACACCAGCAGAGACCAGAGAGAGAGACCAGAGAGAGAGACCAGAGAGAGAGACCAGAGAGAGAGACCAGAGAGAGAGACCAGAGAGAGAGACCAGAGAGAGAGAGACCAGAGAGAGAGAGGGAGACCAGAGAGAGAGACCAGAGAGAGAGGTGCACAATTCAATGTATTTTGATATCGCCCCAAATCAGCAGTAGTTTTCTCAGAGGACTTTACAAAGTTGTTGATTTTCCAACAACAGATCAGAAAATCAGACACAGGAAGAAAACAAAGAGCCGTTGGTTCATAAATGTTTTTAAAGTGGTTCTCACCCCCGCTCCTCGGAGCTTACGTCACTCACATTTCCTGTTCAAATCTTCCTCTAAATGGGCGTAGCCTGGAGGACTAAAGGGGGCGTGAACGAGACTGGGCCGTTTACATTGCTCTGGGCGGGGGGCTGCTGACGTCAGGTCCAACTTCTGTGCCAGTGTTGGCGCCAGATTCAAAATTCAAATGTAGTAACACAGGTCGCCAGCAGATGGCGCCTCACAGACGGTTTTAGGCAGAAAGTTTAACTTTCAACTAATTTGCACCAAAGTGACAAGATTATGACCAGGATTTGTAGACAACACTATTGGACACTCATTTATACCGTTTATCAGCAAAAAAAAGTGGATTTGAGGGTGAGTTGTCCTTTAATGTCGAGTGTCCGGGACCATCACAGCCCTTAAACCCTCTCTCCCTCTGCTCTCTCTGTTTGGTCTCTCTCTCTACTCTCTCTGTTTGGTCTCTCTCTGGACTCTCTCTGGTCTCTCTCTCTGGTCTCCCTCTCTGGTCTCTCTCTCTCTGGTCTTTCTCTCTGGTCTTTCTCTCTGGTCTCTCTCTCTGGTCTCTCTCTGGTCCCTCTATCTCTGGTCCCTCTCTCTCTGGGGTCTCTCTGATCTTTCTCTCTGGTCCCTCTCTCTCTGGTCTCTCTCTCTGGTCTCTCTCTCTCTGATCTCTCTCTCTCTGGTCCCTCTCTCTCTGGTCTCTCTCTCTGGTCTCTCTCTCTCTGATCTCTCTCTCTCTGGTCCCTCTCTCTCTGGTCTCTCTCTGGTCCCTCTATCTCTGGTCTTTCTCTCTGGTCTCTCTCTCTGATTTTTCTCTCTGGTCCCTCTATCCCTGGTCTCTGTCTGCTCTCTCTCTCTGGTCCCTCTATCTCTGGTCTCTCTCTCTGGTCCCTCTCTCTCTGGTCTCTCTCTGGTCTTTCTCTCTGGTCCCTCTATCTCTGGTCTTCCTCTCTGGTCCCTCTATCTCTGGTCTCTGTCTACTCTCTCTCTCTGGTCTCTCTCTTTCTGGTCCCTTTATCTCTGGTCTCTGTCTCTCTCTCTGCTTCTCTCCCTTTTGTCTCTCTCTCTCTCTCTCTCTATCTCTGGTCTCTGTCTCTCTTTTTGCTTCTATCTCTTTTGTCTCTCTCTCTGACCTGTTGTCTCCTCAGTCTCTCTGACGCCCCCTGTGGTCCTAGAGAGCGCTGCACCCTGTGTCTGGATCAGAGGAGCCACTCCACAGCGACACCATGTGGCCATCTGTTCTGCTGGGACTGCATCACTGTGTGGAGCAACAACAAGGTGAGAGACCAGAGAGCGAGACCAGAGAGCGAGACCAGAGAGCGAGACCAGAGAGCGAGACCAGAGAGGGAGACCAGAGAGGGAGACCAGAGAGCGAGACCAGAGAGCGAGACCAGAGAGCGAGACCAGAGAGCGAGACCAGAGAGCGAGACCAGAGAGAGAGACCAGAGAGGGAGACCAGAGAGGGAGACCAGAGAGCGAGACCAGAGAGCGAGACCAGAGAGGGAGACCAGAGAGGGAGACCAGAGAGGGAGACCAGAGAGCGAGACCAGAGAGCGAGACCAGAGAGCGAGACCAGAGAGCGAGACCAGAGAGCGAGACCAGAGAGCGAGACCAGAGAGCGAGACCAGAGAGCGAGACCAGAGAGCGAGACCAGAGAGCGAGACCAGAGAGCGAGACCAGAGGGCGAGACCAGAGGGCGAGACCAGAGGGCGAGACCAGAGGGCGAGACCAGAGGGCGAGACCAGAGGGCGAGACCAGAGGGCGAGACCAGAGGGCGAGACCAGAGGGCGAGACCAGAGGGCGAGACCAGAGGGCGAGACCAGAGGGCGAGACCAGAGAGCGAGACCAGAGAGCGAGACCAGAGGGCGAGACCAGAGGGCGAGACCAGAGGGCGAGACCAGAGGGCGAGACCAGAGGGCGAGACCAGAGGGCGAGACCAGAGGGCGAGACCAGAGGGCGAGACCAGAGGGCGAGACCAGAGGGCGAGACCAGAGGGCGAGACCAGACTAAATGTTATTCTGTGTTGTCTGTTTTAGGCAGAGTGTCCTTTGTGCAGAGAGAAGTTCAGTCCACACAGACTGGTCTATCTGCGCAACTACAGCTGAGCCAGGAAGAAGCTGGAACAGTGCAGACCAGAGGAGGAACGGGGAAGAAGCTGGAGCACTGCAGAGACCAGGGGAGGAATGGGGAAGAAGCTGGAACACTGTAGAGACAAGGGGAGGAACCGGGAAGAAGCTGGAACACTGCAGACCAGAGGAGGAACGGGGAAGAAGCTGGGACATTGCAGACCAGAAGAGGAACGGGGAAGAAGCTAGAACACTGCAGAACAGAGGAGGAACGGGGAAGAAGCTAGAGCACTGCAGACCAGAGGAGGAATGGGGAAGAAGCTAGAGCACTGCAGAGACCAGAGGAGGAATGGGGAAGAACCTGGAACACTGTGAAAATCTGCAAACTGAAAAGTCTGTAACGTTCAGATTTGTTTTCAAACTGAAAGTGATTTAAATATTGATTTTTTTAGAATTAATAATAAATAAAAACTATTATCATTAAAAGTTTAAAACATGTTTTTGGAATTTAATTTTCAATAAAAAAAATGAGTCTGATCTTTGCCGTCTTTAATGTCTCCGACTATTTATCTCTGATCTCTCTCTTTGGTCTCTCTTTGATCTCTCTTGTTTGTTTCTCTCTGGTCTCTCTCTCTTTGATCTCTCTCTCTGGTCTCTCTCTCTTTGGCCTCTATTTGGTCTCTCTTTGGTCTCTCTCTCTTTGGTGTCTCTCTATGGCCTCTCTATTTGGTCCCTCTGGTCTCTCTTTGGTCTCTCTCTCTTTGGTGTCTCTCTCTTTGGCCTCTCTATTTGGTCTCTCCCTTTGGTGTCTCTCTCTTTGGTCTCTCTCCCTTTGGTGTCTCTCTCTTTGGTCTCTCTATTTGGTCTCTCCCTTTGGTCTCTCTCTCTGGTCTCTCTAGTCTCTCTCTGGTCTCTCTTTGGCCTCTCTCTCTTTGGCCTCTCCCTCTGGTCTCTCTCTTTGGCCTCTCTCTTTGGTCTCTCTTTGGTTTCTCTCTGGTCTCTCTTTGGTCTCTCTCTTTGATCTCTCTCTTTGGTCTCTCTCTCTGGTCTCTCTTTGGTCCCTCTGTTCGCTCTCTCTCTTTGGTCTCTCTGGTCTCTCTCTTTGGTCTCTCTCTGGTCTCTCTCGTTGGTCTCTCTGGTATCTCTTTTTGATCTCTCTCTCTGGTCTCTCTTTGGCCTCTCTATTTGGTCTCTCTTTGGTCTCTCTTTGGTCCCTCTCTTTGGTCTCTCTGGTCTCTCCCTTTGGTCTCTCTCTGGTCTCTCTCTCTTTGGTCTCTCTTTGGTCTCTCTCTCTTTGGCCTCTCCCTCTGGTCTCTCTCTCTGGTCTCTCTCTCTTTGGTCTCTCTTTGGTCTCTCTCTCTCTGGTCTCTCTCTGGTCTCTCTCTTTGGTCTCTCTTTGGCCTCTCTCTTTGGTCTCTCTCTCTGGTCTCTCTTTGGTCTCTCTCTGGTCTCTCTCTTTGGTCTCTCTCTCTTTGGCCTCTCTCTGGTCTCTCGTTGGTCTCTCTCTGGTCTCTCTCTTTGGTCTCTCTGGTCTCTCTCTGGTCTCTCTTTGGCCTCTCTATTTGGTCTCTCTCTCTTTGGTCTCTATCTGGTCTCTCTCTTTGGTCTCTCTGGTCTCTCTTTGGTCCCTCTCGTTTGTTTCTCTCTTTGGTCTCGCTGGTCTCTCCCTTTGGTCTCTCTCTGGTCTCTCTCTCTCTTTGGTGTCTCTCTCTCTTTGGTCTCTGTTGTGGGGTCTTTTTCCAAAAACACAATGGCTCAGTCAAAAAAACACTTTTCACAGTGATTTATTATTTCCCATTACTCTGGTCTCTAGTCTCTCTGGTCTCTCTCTTTAGTCTCTCTGGTCTCTCTCTTTAGTCTCTCTGGTCTCTCTCTTTAGTCTCTCTGGTCTCTCTCTTTAGTCTCTCTGGTCTCTCTCTGGTCTCTCTGGTCTCTCTCTTTAGTCTCTCTGGTCTCTCTGGTCTCTCTCTTTAGTCCCTCTGGTCTCTCTCTGGTCTCTCTCTCTGGTCTCTCTCTCTCTGGTCTCTCTCTCGCTCTCTCTCTCTGGTCTCTCTCTCTCTCTGGTCTCTCTCACTCTGGTCTCTAGTCTCTCTGGTCTCTCTCTTTAGTCTCTCTGGTCTCTCTCTTTAGTCTCTCTGGTCTCTCTCTTTAGTCTCTCTGGTCTCTCTCTGGTCTCTCTTTAGTCTCTCTGGTCTCTCTTTTTAGTCCCTCTGGTCTCTCTCTGGTCTCTCCCTCTGGTCTCTCTCTCTCTGGTCTCTCCCTCTCTGGTCTCTCTCTCTGGTCTCTCTCTCTGGTCTCTCTCTCTCTGGTCTCTCTCTCTCTCTGGTCTCTCTCTCTCTGGTCTCTCTCTTGTCTGTGGATGAAACATGGTAAAGTGAGATATTTTATTAATATTATAGATGACAAAAGTAAATGTTTGATGTTGAAATAAAATGTGACTTTTAGAAAAACATTCCACAGTTTGTTTTTGATTAAAGAAACATTTACAGGTTTAAAGTACTGTGTTCTCTCTTTCTACTTCTGTGTTCTCTCTTTCTACTTCTGTGTTCTCTCTTTCTACTTCTGTGTTCTCTCTTTCTACTTCTGTGTTCTCTCTTTCTTCTAATGCGATCAGTCTTTCTACTTCAGTGTTCTCTCTTTCTACTTCTGTGTTCTCTCTTTCTTCTAATGCGATCAGTCTTTCTACTTCAGTGTTCTCTCTTTCTACTTCTGTGTTCTCTCTTTCTTCTAATGCGATCAGTCTTTCTACTTCAGTGTTCTCTCTTTCTACTTCTGTGTTCTCTCTTTCTTCTAATGCGATCAGTCTTTCTACTTCTGTGTTCTCTCTTTCTTCTTCTGCGTTCAGTCTTTCTAGTTCTGCGTTCAGCATTTCTTTTAATGCGTTCCATCTTTTTCTGTCTGCGTCCCATCTGTCTGTGTCTTTGTCCCGTCTTTCTACGTCTGCGATCCATCTTTTTGCGTCTGCGGTCAGTCTTTCTTCTTCTGCGTTCAGTCCCTCTTCTTCTGCGTTCAGTCTTTCTAGTTCTGCGTTCAGTCCCTCTTCTTCTGCGTTCAGTCTTTCTAGTTCTGCGTACAGTCCCTCTTCTTCTGCGTTCAGTCTTTCTAGTTCTGCGTTCCGTCTTTTCCTGATGTAACAATATAAAATCAAACCCAAACCCAAACCCAGGAGAACAAGACCCAGGAAACCAAAACCAAGACCAAGACCCAGAACCAGGATCTTCTCTCCACACACTGCGTCTGACTCAGAGGTTCCTTCTGCGACAGTGACTCTGGAGAGCTTCTGACACCTGAAACACAGACACCATCAACACAGACACCATCAACACAGACACCATCAACACAGACACCTGAAACACAGACACCTGAAACACAGACACCATCAACACAGACACCTGAAACACAGACACCTGAAACACAGACACCATCAACACAGACACCTGAAACACAGACACCTGAAACACACACACCATCAACACAGACACCTGAAACACAGACACCATCAACACAGACACCTGAAACACAGACACCATCAACACAGACACCATCAACACAGACACCTGAAACACAGACACCATCAACACAGACACCTGAAACACAGACACCATCAACACAGACACCTGAAACACAGACACCATCAACACAGACACCTGAAACACAGACACCTGAAACACAGACACCATCAACACAGACACCTGAAACACAGACACCATCAACACAGACACCTGAAACACAGACACCATCAACACAGACACCTGAAACACACACACCATCAACACAGACACCTGAAACACAGACACCTGAAACACACACACCATCAACACACACACCTGAAACACACACACCATCAACACAGACACCTGAAACACACACACCATCAACACAGACACCTGAAACACACACACCTGAAACACAGACACCATCAACACAGACACCAACACACACACCTGAAACACACACACCTGAAACACACACACCATCAACACAGACACCTGAAACACACACACCATCAACACAGACACCTGAAACACACACACCATCAACACAGACACCAACACAGACACCTGAAACACACACACCATCAACACAGACACCATCAACACAGACACCTGAAACACAGACACCATCAACACAGACACCATCACAGAGACAGCAGTGATGTTCTAAGCACCAGTGAGGACATGTCCTACAGAGACCAGAGAAACCAGATCTGAGTCCAAACCATGTCCACCGACTGAGACACGGTCAACAGATGCATGTAAGAGCTCAGGGAACAGCTGATGTTAAGACTGAGAAGGCTTCACAGTAAAGCAGGTGTCTCCTTTTTTACCCAGAGAGCTACTCTCCTGGGACGATAAAGGCAGAGAGCTACTCTCCTGGGACGATAAAGGCAGAGAGCTACTTTCCTGGGACGATAAAGGCAGAGAGCTACTCTCCTGGGACAATAAAGGCAGAGAGCTACTTTCCTGGGACGATAAAGGCAGAGAGCTACTCTCCTGGGACGATAAAGGCAGAGAGCTACTCTCCTGGGACAAAGGCAGAGAGCTACTCTCCTGGGACGATAAAGGCAGAGAGCTACTCTCCTGGGACAATAAAGGCAGAGAGCTACTCTCCTGGGACGATAAAGGCAGAGAGCTACTCTCCTGGGACGATAAAGGCAGAGAGCTACTTTCCTGGGACGATAAAGGCAGAGAGCTACTCTCCTGGGACGATAAAGGCAGAGAGCTACTCTCCTGGGACGATAAAGGCATAGAGCCAGAGAGCTACTATCCTGGGACGATAAAGGCAGAGAGCTACTTTCCTGGGACGATAAAGGCAGAAAGCTACTTTCCTGGGACGATAAAGGCAGAGAACTACTCTCCTGGGACGATAAAGGCAGAGAGCTACTCTCCTGGGACAATAAAGGCAGAGAGCTACTCTCCTGGGACGATAAAGGCAGAGAGCTACTCTCCTGGGACGATAAAGGCAGAGAGCTACTCTCCTGGGACGATAAAGGCAGAGAGCTAGAGAGCTACTCTCCTGGGACGATAAAGGCAGAGAGCTACTCTCCTGGGACGATAAAGGCAGAGAGCTACTTTCCTGGGACGATAAAGGCAGAGAGCTACTCCTTTAAGCTGCCCTGGGAAAATATGGTGATATAACCACCTGTATGTGGAGTGTTCTTCCTGCCGGGGGACTACGGATGCAAATTAGCCTCAGGCTAACTCCAGTACAATTTATCAAATGGAGGTATTTATGTTCTAATTGTACACTGTCCCTTTTTAAATAAATAAATACATTTAAAAAAAAACCTGATATTGGGAACAGTTATTATTAAATCATTGCATAATTTGTTGCGAGTGAACAACGTAAGAACATTTACAATAATAATGAATAATAGAAACATTTGATTTTGTTCATTTCTAAATCCTTTGGTGAGCTACCTGGAAGGGGGTGGTGAGCTACTGGTGGCCTGCAGTAAAGTGTTAGTCAAAGTATCTGGACTTTAAAAGGTTTTAACTCAAAAACTAAAATGACTTTCATAGATTTGGAAAAAGGATTTCAACCTCAGATCAAAGAGAGATTGACACATGTTTTAAATGTTAAACCAGATCAGCCTCTGATTGGTTAATCCACAGATTAACAATAACACAACATGAGGTCAGGGCCTCACAAAGGTCACAGAGGTCTGGGCCTCACAGAGGTCACAGAGGTCCGGGCCTCGCAGAGGTCAGGGCCTCACAGAGGTCACAGAGGTCAGGGCCTCACAGAGGTCACAGAGGTCCGGGCCTCACAGAGGTCACAGAGGTCAGGGCCTCACAGAGGTCAGAGAGGTCCGGGCCTCACAGAGGTCACAGAGGTCAGGGCCTCACAGAGGTCAGAGAGGTCCGGGCCTCACAGAGGTCACAGAGGTCAGGGCCTCACAGAGGTCAGAGAGGTCCGGGCCTCACAGAGGTCACAGAGGTCCGGGCCTCACAGAGGTCAGAGAGGTCCGGACCTCACAGAGGTCACAGAGGTCCGGGCCTCACAGAGGTCACAGAGGTCAGGGCCTCACAGAGGTCACAGAGGTCCGGGCCTCAAAGAGGTCACAGAGGTCAGGGCCTCACAAAGGTCACAGAGGTCAGGGCCTCACAGAGGTCACAGAGGTCCGGGCCTCACAGAGCTCACAGAGGTCCGGACCTCACAGAGGTCACAGAGGTCCGGGCCTCAGAGGTCACAGAGGTCCGGGCCTCACAGAGGTCACAGAGGTCCGGGCCTCACAGAGGTCACAGAGGTCCGGGCCTCACAGAGGTCAGATCAGTGTAATGTGCCATAAACGTCAGACTCACTGTGTGTGCGGCTGACAGAACGACAGAGTCCCGTTAGAGAAGCTCCCATTAGCACAGGTACCACACTCTGTGTCTGCGAAGGGACCACCTAAGGAAGAGGAGCACAGGTACTGATACAGGTACACACACAGGTACTGACACAGGTACACACACAGGTACTGACACAGGTACACACACAGGTACTGATACAGGTACACACACAGGTACTGATACAGGTACACACACAGGTACTGACACAGGTACACACACAGGTACTGACACAGGTACACACACAGGAACTGACACAGGTACACACACAGGTACTGACACAGGTACACACACAGGTACTGATACAGGTACACACACAGGTACTGATACAGGTACACACACAGGTACTGCGACAGGTACACACACAGGTACTGCGACAGGTACACACACAGGTACACACACAGGTACTGATACAGGTACACACACAAGTACTGATACAGGTACACACACAGGTACTGATACAGGTACACACACAAGTACTGATACAGGTACACACACAGGAACTGACACAGGTACACACACAGGTACTGATACAGGTACACACACAGGTACACACACAGGTACACAAACAGACACACAGGTACACACACAGGAACTGATACAGGTACACACAGGTACTGCGACAGGTACACACACAGGTACTGATACAAGTACACACACAGGTACACACACAGGTACACACACAGGTACTGATACAGGTACACACACAGGTACTGATACAGGTACACACACAGGTACTGACACAAGGACACAAACAGACACACAGGTACACACACAGGAACTGATACAGGTACACACAGGTACACACACAGGTACACACACAGGTACTGATACAGGTACACACACAGGTACTGATACAGGTACACACACAGGTACTGACACAAGGACACAAACAGACACACAGGTACACACACAGGAACTGATACAGGTACACACACAGGTACTGATACAAGTACACACACAGGTACTGCGACAGGTACACACACAGGTACTGATACAGGTACACACACAGGTACACACACAGGTACACACACAGGTACTGATACAGGTACACACACAGGTACTGATACAGGTACACACACAGGTACTGAGACAGGTACACACACAGGTACACACACAGGTACTGACACAGGTACACACACAGGTACTGATACAGGTACACACACAGGTACTGAGACAGGTACACACACAGGTACACACACAGGTACACAAACAGACACACAGGTACTGACACAGGTACACAAACAGACACACAGGTACTGATACAGGTACTGATACAGGTACACACACAGGTACACACACAGGTACACACACAGGTACTGATACAGGTACACACACAGGTACTGATACAGGTACACACACAGGTACTGAGACAGGTACACACACAGGTACAGACACAGGTACACACACAGGAACTGACACAGGTACACACACAGGTACTGACACAGGTACACACACAGGTACTGAGACAGGTACACACACAGGAACTGACACAGGTACACACACAGGTACACACACAGGAACTGACACAGGTACACACACAGGTACTGACACAGGTACACACACAGGTACTGACACAGGTACACACACAGACACACAGATACTGACACAGGTACCCACACAGGTACTGACACAGGTACACACACAGACACACAGATACTGACACAGGTACACACACAGTACTGATACAGGTACACACACAGACACACAGATACTGAGACAAGTACACACACAGGTACTGATACAAGTACATACACAGGTACTGACACAGGTACACACACAGGTACTGACACAGGTACACACACAGACACACAGATACTGAGACAAGTACACACACAGGTACTGATACAAGTACATACACAGGTACTGACACAGGTACACACACAGACACACAGATACTGAGACAAGTACACACACAGGTACTGATACAAGTACATACACAGGTACTGACACAGGTACACACACAGGTACTGACACAGGTACACACACAGGTACTAACACAGGTACACACACAAGTATCTAAAGACACATTCAGCAGTATTTCATATCTTTAACAAAATTATGAGATTTATAGAATAGAAAATATATCTATGGATAAAGTGTGTGTCTGTGTGTGCGTTTGTGTGTCTGTGTGTGCGTTTGTGTGTCTGTGTGTGTGTGTCTGTGTGTGCGTGTGCGTGTGCGTGTCCCGTTTTTCAACTCCTGGTGGGTTCCATAACCTGAGATTCCACTCACGTCATGGGGACTGGTTTTACGTGGTGGGGCCCGAACACCGGACCCCACTGGTCCAAGCTTAATAATCAATGGGTAATGCTTTTCTAACGGTCCTTATGCAGTCTCTGTAAAAATATGGAAAGGACCCCTGGAGGTTTACTTTCCTGAAAAAAGTGTGTTATGTGTCGGAACCCTGGTGGTGGGTTGCGGGATATCAGGGAGGGGCACACTGGGGCAATTTCAGTCCAGCAGGCTGGAGCCAATCATGGAGCAGCACAACAGAGGAAATCAGGTGTCAGGCTAGAAAAGGTGCAAGTGTGTGGTTCATTAGGCTGCAGCCAATCACAGAGCAGCACGCTTACAACCCACTGGTAAGTGCTGACTACAAGTCATGACTTCAAATTGTTATATAGAATTATTACAAATTATTTGTTGTTTGTGCAGCTTAGTCAAGAGTCCCTAATTGATGAAGTCGACTCAGATTCTGACGATTTAACTGTCAAGAAGAAACCTGTAAAAAAGTATGGAAAAAGAAAAATCAAAAACACTTTTCTTCAAGACTCGGAAAGTGACGAACCAAAGGCAAATAAGATTGTTATCATGCAGCTGCAAAAGAAGAAAAATGGGGGGCGAGTTTACAGCAAGAGACACTTCTGCCTCTACTGTTCAATGTCCTGCCACAAAATGTCCCGTCATTTGACTAGAAAACATGGAAATGAAAGTGACGTAGCCAGAGCATTGGCTCTACCTGTGAAATCTAAAGCACGTAAACTTCAGTTTGATTTGATCAGGAATAGTGGAAACCGTGAGCACAATTTTGAGGTTTTAAAGGCCGGCATTGGAACTTTAGTCCCAGCTAAACAGCCAAATTCCCCAGTTAAATCCAGTGAGTTTTTGCACTGTATAGACTGTGGGGCATTGCTTAAGCGAAAGTCGCTGTGGAGGCATGTGGCCAGGTGCCGGCTTTCACAGAAAGATGCCCAGGCTAAACCAGGTAGAAGTAGGGTCCAGTCCCTCTGCTCCCTAGCCCAGCCTGTACCGGAGGGCATCAGCAAAAAGCTGTGCTCTTTAATTTGGGCAATGCATCAGGATGAGGTCACGGGTGTTGTCAAATCAGAAAAGGGGATTCTGAGACTCGGAGAGCACCTGTACTTAAAACACGGGCATGATAAGACTAAGCATGATTACATTAGGCAGAAAATGAGAGAAGTCGGTAGGTTAATTAACGAAGCAAAAACCGCAGGGAAACTGAAAACAATGAAGGATTTCTTTATTCCTTCCAACTTTAACCATGTGATTGATGCAGTCAGGTCTGTGGCTGGATATGATGAGGAAACAAATCAATACAAGACTCCATCCTTGGCCCTCAAACTCGGCCATAGCCTCAGAAAGCTAGCAGATATTCTTGAATGTGACTCAAAAATGGAGCATTGTGTTGATGAACTATTTATTAAAAACCTCCAACGAAGCCGGCTGCTTTTTGAGAAGAGGTGGGACGTCTGTGTTTCTTCTGCTGCCCTACAGACCCTCCGGCAAGCCAAGTGGAACACTCCGGACCTGCTCCCTCTGACTGAGGACGTTAGAGCCATGCATGCACATATTGAGGTATGTCGACCTGAATATGTGCAAACCCTAATAAGTGAGCCAACGTCTAAGCATTGGTCTAAACTGGCAGTTTTGACTCTTTGTGAGGTCATTATTTTCAATCGAAGAAGGGAAGGTGAGGTTTCAAAGATGCCACTGACAGCCTTTACCTTAAGAAGTAAGACTGGGATCCATTCTGACATTGCTCTGGGACTGCCCCAACTTGAGAAAAAGCAGTGTCAGCATTTTCAACGCATTGAAATTAAAGGGAAAAGAAGTCGGAAAGTGCCGGTTCTTTTGACTCCTGAAATGATTGCTTCGATGGAGGTGCTGGTGGAGAACAGAAGGGCCTGTTCCATCTCTGACCATAACCCATACTTCTTTTCCCGCCCGGGCGCAGACACCCACATCAGGGGATCAGACTCCCTACGCCAGGTAGCCAAAGAATGTGGTGCGGTGCATCCAGAGATGCTATCCTCAACCAAACTTAGAAAGCACATAGCTACTATGTCTACAGTTCTCAATATGAAAGAGAATGAGATGGACATACTTGCCAACTTCCTCGGCCATGACATTCGCATCCACAGGCAATATTACAGACTACCAGAGGGGACACTGGAGCTGGCCAAAATCAGCAAAGTGTCAATGGCCATGGAGCAGGGGAGAATTCAAAGGAAAGAGCCTCAACCAGATACAAATTGAGCCTGAAGGTAATTCTTGATATTATTAAAATATGTATAATTTTTTTCCCCTAAAGGCCACTTGTATTTTTATTTTCTGTGCGACAGGGAGAGCAGTAGAGATCCTCTCACAAACGGACGGGCTAAAAGAAACTTCAAGCGGAGAACCTTCAACCATTCATCCAGATGCACCCCATGGTAGTGGCAGTGCCCCTTCTGGTAAGTGTACCAGGTGGGGGATTACAGCCAGGCTGCTTGGTCCTAACCCTGGGAGTGTATATTGCTAATATATTTTTATTTCTCTCCCTAGAACGTTAGAGAAAGCCATGGTCTGCATCTGAGGTGAAGGCTGTGGAGAAGACCATGACGCCTTTCATACAGACTGGAAAGGTCCCTGGGAAGTCTCACTGCCTGGCCTGGCCTGGCCTGGCCTGCATTAATGCCTCACCAGATGACCTTAGACATCGGACATGGAGTGGCAT